GTCTTCAAGTTCTGCAGTTTGTCAAAGAGGTCCGCGACTTGGGGGTCTTCTTCACACCCAACCTTCACCCTGGCGCTCACATAAAATATCTCGCATCTGCTACAAGGCCTACTCCGTGCTCGGTTTCTTCTTCAGATCCACCAGAGGACCCTTTTCTCTTACAACCATTAAAACTCTCTACATTACTCTCGTTCGCTCAATTCTGGAATACAACTCAACTGTGTGGTCCCCTTACCAACTGGGATTGATTAAAGAACTAGAAAAATTTCTGGGTTGACTGGAGTCAAGATTCGCTACACGGAAGTTGAAATCGATGAGATTGGTCAGCTTCTTGGCCTCCCGCCGTTGCTTCTTCGAAGAGAGTTGATGGACGCAGTATTCCTCTTCAAGCTAGTAAATGACTCATTTGACTGTCCTGAGCTGCTGGGAAAGATTGACTTCCACGTCCCTCGTCATTCCAGACATCAACAATTGTTTAAAAGAGATCCCTACTCCACCACTTACATTCAGCACAGTCCAGTACCTCGCCTGATGCGCACAGGGGACAGAATCTGCGGTGACGTCAACTTCTTTGACCCTAGTGTCTCCTTTAAACGTTTAGTTACCTATAATAGTATCCAAGCAATTGCCATTTAAAATCCCGACATTCTTTTTAAAACACCCTGTATAACTAGACCATTAATAACAAAAACAATGTAAATGGGCTATTTAACAAAAAAGAAAAAAATACTATTTAACAGCATAATAAGAATGAATGACTAACAGATGAATGACATTATTAACAAGATTGACACTACATGTAGTTTCTTTTGAGTACGAAACTCGTTGGAACTCGTTTATCCGTCAAATTGAAGCTAAAATAACCAAGTTTTATTTCCCATGTAGCAAGGGAGGAAACTATACCTTAGCATGCGCAAAACAGGTGCGTGTGGTAGGCCGCTATTGCGACTCATACGCCTGATGCCAGTCGCCAGAGCAATGTTTACGGCGCAACAGAAGTCACAAAGTGTAATCTGTGATTCACATAGTTTATATTGATTGCTAAATTAAACTAAATTAAAATCTACTTAATGATAAATAAATTTGACGCTGGTTTAATGAGTTTTGTGGCACCGTAGTGTTTTGAAATTACATTCACCTGACTGGCTAAAAACAAACCATGACATAGTCGAAGAAATCCGACAATTCTGCATCAGAAGCCCCAAAAAATCGATTGCTCGACGAAGCGTTCAGATGAACATACACACCTAAATCAACACTTCATGATGTTTTGATGTTATCTGTAAAAGATAGTCTTTGTGCCTAAAAATATTCAGTTAAGACATCAGATCAACCCGCCGATCGCACTAAGCGTACAGACTTAACCAGTTTTACACTCATATAAGATTGATGAAAATCTGAATTTTATTAATTATTCCGAACTGTATCAAAGTATGAGAAAAGACTTTATTCCTTACCCTTCAATTTGACGTTTAAATCATTTAATTATCTTGAATAGTCTCCGAGCAACAACCGTTTAAAATCCCCGGCATTCTTTTATAAACACCCGGTATTTTTTTTTTTTGTAAATGGTCTAATACGTAGTTTTTGTTTTTAAATGTATATTTATATTTGTTTTGTTGTTTAAATTGACTATTTTTTTGTTTTTCACGCAACATGCCTGTATAGCTGTTACGTTCTGTTAAATCTCCTGTTACACGAACAGTGTTTTATATCGTATTTCACCCTAATATTAATTATTGCTCACGTTACAATTTCCTTCTTATCAATGTCAACTCAACACTATTGTAAAATGGTTTTTGCCAACATGTCATAAGTAAATAAAAGGAAAGACTATCTTTTAAGAGGTTGATGTCAGCAATTGTATTTATCACAATGCAATACAGTACTTAATCATGAGTACTTGTGCAAACAGGTTATGCAATAGTACAGTTTTGATATCATTGCCAACCCAAACCTTGTTGACATTTTGAGATGAGTGATTCACTTTATATTTCATCTTAATGCGCAAAACTAATACTTTACCAAACGAAAATCTTATACTTGTGCTTAAAGGTGTGACCTCAACAGCAAAATGGTTTGGAAATAAATTGTAAAATGTTATGTTATGGTAAACCCCTATTTTACTCCATTGAACCCCCACAAATCCTTGTTCCCCTAGTCCGATCATGGAGTTTGATGGTTCGATGATCCGATGGTTTGAGAGCTACCTTTCTGAACGACGTCTGGCTGTTGTCTTCCAGTCCCACGTCTCTGCTAGCTTCGTCGCGAGTTCTGGCGTCCCGCAAGGTTCTCATCTTGGCCCACTTTTGTTCTCGATCTTCATCAACGACATTAAAGATAATATAAAGGTACCTTTTCTACTGTTCGCTGATGACATAAAGTTGTTCGCGGAAGTCAACTCTTACTCTGACTGTCAACTACTTCAAGAAGCTCTCGACGACATCGTTAGTTGGTGTTTAGTGAATGATATGTCAGCCAATCCTGCTAAAACGAAATGTATAACCTTCAGTAGAAAGAAGAACAACTTGGAAGCTGACTATTTCCTTGACGGGAACAGGGTGGAAAGGTGTGACACCATCAAGGACCTGGGCGTTCTGATTGATGCCTCGTTTGATTTTGGACCGCACATAAGCCATATATGTGCCAAGGTGTCACGCATGCTGGGATTGATCTCTCGTACGTCAAGACATGGGTTGAGTGCCAACTCCTCAACGATCCTGTTCAAGGCCTTAGTTCGTCAGCTGCTCGAGTACGCCTCTGTGGTCTGGTTGCCATACCTCCTCGGCCAAATCAGTCATCTTGAGTCAGTCCAGAGACGCTTCGTGAGACATATCGGTTGCCGCGCTGGGTTCAATTTCATGGACGTCCCAGTCGAGGCAATATCTGCAGCTTATGGTCTCCAAAGCTTGGAGTGCAGAAGAAGAGTTGCTGATGTTGCCTTCCTCTTCAAGCTGCTAAACAACCAGATCAGTAGCCCTTTTCTGCTCGAGAGGATCAATCTGCACGTTCCCAGAAGTACCAGGCATCAACGCTTGTTTGAGCTAGACCACGCTTCGACCAGCTATCTACGCTTCTGCCCCATACCACGTCTGATGCGCTCCGGGAACGAAATATGTTCGTCGGTCGACTTTTTCGCTTCCAGTTTGATGGCTGTTAGGCGAGTGGCAGCAGAGGAACGAGTCGATCAATAATTATTTCACTTTGTTTTTTCAGTTATAGATATACAGGGTGTTGAAAATGTCTGGAACCAACATTATATCTGGTGAGTGGTTAAAGAAAAACAACTGATATTTTGTGTACGGATATACTATGGTTTTACCTATCTTTTGGTGCCTTATGCAAATTTTTACCACTTATAGGAAACGTCCTGTGGAGGATGCAGTAAAAAGTTTTAATGGAAGCCTATGGTAAATGATACATCGTTTTAAAGGCCATTTTTTTCTGAGTAAGGAGCCACAAGTTTCATCTCAAAAGGACCACCCTAGCAAAAATGGCGACTGTTTGAAATTTAAAAAAAACCACTTATAGGGAACGTCCTGTGGAGGATGCAGTAAAAAGTTTTAATGGAAGCCTATGGTAAATGATACATAATTTTAAAGGCCATTTTTTTCTGAGTAAGGAGCCACAAGTTTCATCTCAAAAGGACCACTCTAGCAAAAATGGCGACTGTTTGAAATTTAGAAATTCCGTTCCCTATAAGTCGTTTTTTTAAATTTCAAACAGTCGCCATTTTTGCTAGGGTGGTCCTTTTGAGATGAAACTTGTGGCTTCTTACTCAGGTAAAAATGGCCTTTAAAATGATGTATCATTTACCATAGGCTTCCATTAAAACTTTTTACTGCATCCTCCACAGGACGTTCCCTATAAGTGGTAAAAAATTTCATAAGGCACCAAAAGATAGGTAAAACCATAGTATATCCGTACACAAAATATCCGTTGTTTTTTATTTAACAACTCACCAGATATAATGTTGGTTCCAGACATTTTCAACACCCTGTATATTGCATGTTATCTTAAATCATTAGTATTGTTGTTAATTAATTATTTATTATTGTTGTTCATTTCTTTATTTATTATTGTTACGCATTTCATTGTCTATTAATACTCAACTACTAATTACTACTACTATTAATACTTGTTACTCTTGCTATTAATAAGTGCCTGCCACAGACCACCTTAGAACTAGTTTTCATAATTCTATGTACTTAGAAAACAAAACTAAAGAATGAAGAGAAAAATCTGTAAACTGTTTGTCATTTCTTTGAATCTATTGGTCCCCGCCGACAAGTTTTGTAAACTTGGCGAGGCCATGCTTGTAATATCCTAAATAAATATATTTGAATTTGAATTTGAATTCACTGTTGAAGCTGTCAAACTACTGATTATCTTTGTAAATTGGTGTATTGCCGTTGGTAAATAAATAAATAAATAAATGGAGGTCTGCTATCGATTGAACAAATGTAGGCATACACTTTTATACCAAATTTAATCAAAATTGGATAACTTTTGCTTGAGTTGTCATGCTAACTGACATTTATTATATACTAGCCACCATACCCGTGCTTTGCAACGGGAAGAGAACACTAAAGAGAATAATTATGTTCCATAGATCTGCTGTATGAAATAGTTATTAACGCATAAATGCTCACAATAATACTTCACAATAATAATTGCTTTATCAAAATTATTTTGATAAAGCACCAACAACATCCTTTTTAAACACATGTTTTATATACATTTGACAATTCTTTTACTCTTGTTCATAATAATAACACAAAAGCTTTGGAAGCCGATAGGAATGAGCCCTAGGCTGAATTAAAATAAAAAATGCCTTTGGAAAACATCAGCTCAATTGGTCAGCTCAATCAGGTCTCCACTTGATTGAACATACGACATACTCCAAACGTATATCACCTACAGTAAAATTCGCTAAAACAGGTTGGCAATTAAATCAACGTTGTTAGACGTGGTTAAGGTTGAAATAAGTTATGAAGACATTGTTTCCCCAACATTTTAATAACGACGATTGGGTGTGGATAACCCAACAGGTCGACACATCTTTTTACTTATGACTTTTCTCTTCCACGATACATAATCATTCATTTTTGCAATGTGAAGTTGTTGCGGTCTCTTTCTAGCGACTTCTGACAAAAAGCTGTTTACTTGGTCTTCTATTTCATCAATAGGGTTGAACTGTAGATGATTAGTGACAATATCCAGGAGATTGGCGAATTTGTAGTCAAATCCTCTAAAATTCTGAAAAAATAATAAATCATCAAATTTTAAGTTTACTTATGACTCATACTTTATGGACAGCTGTAAAAGAATTTTCTTAAGTAAAATCACATGTTTAAAAGTGACTTCCTAATGAGGCGTACTACATCCAAGTATTTATGTTTTAGTAAAAAATAAGTTAACTTCCTTGTAAGTACAACTATGATCGCAATACGTTTTATTGAGTACTCCAACTGTTTAGCTCAAAATTAATTTAAATAAAAGTTATTATATTTTGAAGAAAATCTGATATTTTAAAATCATAGGTAAAAATAAATTGTGTCTTGCCTTAGCAACTGTAAGTAGATCGCTGTTTTGGCCTAAATAAACGATTTGATTTGATAACCAGAAAACTAAAAACATGCAAGCTCAACTTTACTGCTCAAGTTACACATGTCAATAGTAAACATAAAAGCTTACATCTAATAAGTTTTTTTTTCAGTTTAGTTCATGTACTATGTAGCTGTGCATTATTGAAGCTCTAAAGTATATCATTCTGATGCAGATCTTTCCCTGAGCATCGACTTACACTCCATTCGGGAATATATTATTCTGAAGACTCAGAACATCTTAAAATACCTTGTAATTAATTTTCTGTTTGAATAAAGAGTTTATTTTTTTATTTTAGTTTGTCAAAAATAAGGCTAACATTTGTTTTAAAATGTTCGAAAATCTATTATTTAATACTTATTGCTTTTTACTTGATAGTGAGTTCTCCAAATATTACCTCCAAACTTTTTGCGGACGGATCCAATTCTAGAGACCTCTGGAAGCTTGCTATTGCGGACCCCCAGTCGTCATCGAGAAGTAGGTAGCAAGTGCCAAGGTAAGCATATAGCATTGCCTGGTTGACAACGTCATGCTTGTAAATCGTCAACCCCTTCTTGAGATCATCAATTATCTTATGTTCGTAGCCATTATTCCATTTTGCTAAAGTCAAATAAAACGTAACAGTTGCCGTCCCCATATCAAATGCCTTTTGCCCATAGAAAATTGCTTTCTGAACGTCCTGAAACATTTTATATTATTCATAGCAACAGTTGCAATACATGAAAGTATTATGGAACCGGAGATATTTTAAAAGCATAACCTGATATGATAAATAATTCATTAACTACCTCCAATTCCTTATACCTAAGAGCCATTTCAAACCTTCTTCGCAACAAGTTTACTGTTATGGACTCCCATGCGGTTTCCCGAGCTGTCGTACAGCCTTCCCCGGCTCGTTGCAAAAGGCGACTCAATGGGTGACCAACACTCACTGGAAGTCCCTGGGAATGTTTCCATTTTAGTTGCACTGTTGGGTGGAGTGTGTGTGCTTTGCAAGGCCAATGTGTATTCTCAGCCAATGTGAGGAGCCAGCCACTTTAGTCCTTAGTCAGAAAGTGCAGCTTGTGCAGCATGGATGCAGAAGTCGGGCTCTGCATTCCTACCAAAGACTCCCGGCACTTCAGGTATCTGGTGCTGGGCAAACGGAGGTTGGTTTCCGGGGGACTGAGATAAGGGTTTCGTCCCGGGGATATAAATGTTTCTTGCTGTTCCGAGCCACCCTTTGACGCTCGATGCCTACTCTTGGAACTCCTTCGACACATGAATTTGGGACCAGTGGGGTGGATGGTGACAGGATGGAAATTGAACTGGGGCTGCCACACCAGTTAGTTAGTCACACTGTTAGTAGTTCATTTAACAATTATGTAGGGCATACTGCCAAACAGCTCCCTGCGGACAGATTGTGAACTACGGCTTTTACCGCCCAATTAGACCACGCTGGTAAATAGTCCAATCTCCTGGTCGAGATTATGGGTTTCAACTGGTTTCAAGAACATTGAGTGAAAATGACCCAACTAAAACTGACCCAGGTCACGCGCATCGTAAATGCTTGGATGGTTGATCATCGTCTGCCCCTTGCTTTGAACAAGGTCGATCGTCATCCTTATTAAGAAAGGGATCGGCACCATCGTTCTGCTACGAGTGGGGAACGTAGTTGTCTAAACCACGTAAACCAACATGTAGGCCTAATTCTGTGTCATGGTGAACAACAAGTTGAGCCGGAGAGATCAGATCTTCCTTACAGCAAACAAGACTGCTAGGAGTGTAAAGCCTCTAAATAAGCTTATGGCCAATGCCGGAGGTCCTCTTTCTAGCCAGAAAAGACTCAACAATAAGTATAACAGTTGAGACCATAGTTGAGACTCGCACGAGTGCAGCGTCAGGTGGCACTATTAAAATGGTAGCGGGGAGGAAGGCGATCCACCAGAGACAAGGCTAGATCAGTAAGGACGCTGCAAGAACGTAAGAGCACTCCTCCACCTTTCAGATATTCCACAAGAGCTGAGAACAGGAGACTAGAGGATGCCGGACTGACAGACTCATCAAGCAGATCAAATCTTGAGTGGGCCGGTGGCATGGTGAGGTGAAATACTACTTCACGCAGTTCTTGCCAGGTCACGGCTGCTTTTAGTCGTACGTTTGATTGATGGGCAAGTCCAGTTAATTTGATGGCATTCACGACGATGCGAAACATACGTTCTTCCTCAGTCAAAAAATTCGTCAGAAAACTCTGACGAAGAGTGACCAGGTGTCCCCAGTTTACTGTCCGACATGTAGATGAGGGGTTTAGTGGGTAGTAGTAGTACAGAGACAGACGGACTCATGAGAATGGACTCCTGCAGGCAAACTGATTTTCTTGTAACGCACACAGCCACAGGAGTCCTCAAGCAGACGGGCTATCCATTCCCTCATTCACCTCGAGCTTTAACTACTTAGGTTCTGTAAAATGGCGTTTAGTGTAGTGCAGCCATGATTTTCAAGAATTGTGCAAAAACCAATAACCAAAGAATTGGAACCAGGTGTGGAAAAGGATGACAGTTCCTCACAAGTAGTTGTAATTTAAACAAACCACAGCACACCTAGTGGCTGTGAGGAGAAGTAGGCTTAACGTAAAAAAAAACTCTTTGCGCATGCACAGCAGAAAAGTTCGCAGGAGAATTTTAAAAATCTCTTGAGGCGATTCCACAAAATCCGTCCGCGAACTCAAGCGGACTCCGGCAGACGGGCGAAATCCTTTGTGCGTTGCCACATTTGACATCAGGGAGAGTGAATTTTAGTCCGTACTGTGAATGAGTCCGTCAGTCTGTCTGTCTCTGTGTGTGCCGGCCTTTAGTCCCACACTGCGGTATTTCCGCTCCTCCCTCAATTAAAACATATTACTTTTATTAAAGTATTAGAAAAGTAATAGTTACTCTAGAATGATTATAGAGCGGTATAATGGTTATAATTTCTTCGGAGTGGCTTTGAAAACGAAATCTTTACCATATTAACTACGACAGCTATTGACATGGGACTGGTCTAAAGTTTAGTGTGCGGGATGTATCACTATCAAAATATGCTGTGCTGTGTTTAAAATATTGTCAAACTCCAATGCGTATAGTAACTTATAGCTCTATCATGTTATCCCATAATCTAATGGTTTGTAGACCAACCAAAGCAAAAAATCGTTTATAGGTTAGGTTAAATGGTTGCTTTGGAAATGTTTTGATCCAATGGTTACTTAATTGTTAAGACCTTAGAACTTTTGGCCTATCTGAAATACACTCACTCACTACCACTAGCTTACCTTTTCTATAACGTTGTAATACTTTTGCAAGTCAGCGTAAGGGGAGCCCCTGTTTGGGGCAGCAGCAACCACTTCCTCCAGCAGGGTTTTCACTATAGGATCTTTACTATGCACCATTAACAAACCATGTGCGACGCGTGCCTTCAGGCTTATGCAGTTGGGCCGCAGTTTTAATGCCTCTCTTGAAAACAAATGGTTTTTGTAAAATATAGCCTATGACTGGCTAGAAACACAGGATTCACGCTGTAAAGGCGCCTTTGGTTGGAGAGAATGGAGTGGCCGAGGTTTCTAGGTAACAACGGAAGGTCTGTGTTTATTAGCACATTTTCCATTTAAGGAAAAAGCTATTTGGTATTTAGATGCCGTAGTTCAATTGACACTCAAGGAGTGATAATTTTGTTATGGCATGTATTTTTTTATCTGTCACTTGAATAATGATGGACAGGTTGGTATTCGTTACCCATTGCTTATGATGACTCATGATGAATGTCCTTGGATGACAATAAGTTATGAATTGGGTAAACGCAAGGAATATTTCATCAGTAGAAAGAAGACCAGGGATAAGGGTTACACACCAAAACGTCTTAACAAAACAATTAACATCAGATTGTCAAAGATTTAAGTACTGTGTATCTAAAACATTCGGAATATTTTTTTCATTTATGTTAGTTTTTCTTTGTTCACATACTTATCCATGTTTGGAATGCATCTAGCTTTACATTCTATTACCACACAATAATATCCACGTAAAAAATCACGAATGGCAAACAAAAAGCGAGCCACCCAGCAATACTCGAATGAGTGATGCAAAAATACACATCATCACAAAATAAGCACCCCTCTAGTTTTTTTATGCATTATGGGAACTGAACATAGAAAAAGTTAAATCCACTCGATGAATAAACCACGGTTACTCTACTTTCTCTTCAACCAACAACAAACTTTTAATAAACAAGGTTTTTTTTTAATTTAATATACCACCCTGAACTACACCTACCTACTTCGAGATTATATTGGTCGTCAGAAAATGCACCAAAACTTTATCAATTCAAAGGTTTTTCAGGTTGGAGACGTTATACGTCTATACCCAAGGATAAATTTATATGAACGTAGTATATTAAGTACTGAAACAGCAGGTTTTGTGAAACAAAATATGACAGCCATCACCAATAACAGTTTTAGAAAAAACGGATTTAACTAAACTTGGGGTCGTTTACTTAAATGCTACAAAACTTCAAGCAAATTTAACATCATGACCACCACCACTGTTTCCAAACCTCTTGACGGTTTTTGGAATAACCGTTCAATTAATTAACCGTCTCATGCAACGAGAACGAAAACAACGAGCTTAGATGAACTACTTAAAACAATATTTAATTAATTTTTAGGTTTTCCCAGATTTAAGAACTTGAAATTATTTTTAGTTTAAACTTTATTTGTTTCTTTGTACATCATAGGCCACAATAATATAAACGCTGACATAAAAATTGGGTAAAATCTAATAAAAAATTATTCAATCACGAATCTTGAAGATCAACAGCTGATGTCATATTTTTGAAACGGTTACAATCAGGAAAAGTGTGAAGAACCAAAAGTATGACTAAACTGATTTAAAAGAAAAATCTATCTCCAACCGATTGTGTTGCCATTAAAAACTTTGAACTTTAAATTGTAAAACGGGTAATTGCCAATTACAAATTTGCAAAACAATTATATTGATCATCAAAACTTGAATAAATCCTTTGCAAAACATGTTTCTTTTGAAAATATTTGGTATTGTGAGTTTTCTTTCAGGTGTTTGTGAAAATAGCTGGGTTTTCTTCTTCCCAAGGTTAAAATTATTGCTTTGCAGCGATGAACGAGTAAATGCTTACGATCATCTATATTGATATGTATAGATGTATACTTTGTAGCATTGCTTCATCTAATAATTTTGTATGTAACCTACAACATATATTATTTCTAGAAGCTTAAATTGGTTGAAAGTGTGCATAATTACCGATATCTCATCTCTGCTTTTTCAACGTAACATTTAGACCTTTCCGTGTGCTTCTTTGAAGCCATTATCTTGGATGAATCTGCATATACTTCGGCCAAATATACAGTGTATGAAGCATCCTTCTGTAAAGTAAAGGCCTTCTCAATGGATTCTATCTCTTCTTTCGATATTTCTGGGTAAATTCTTTTGTTATTTCGTCTTCGAAGCTTACCTTGAATAAAACTTTTTGAATATAACTTAAGATATTCGACAAGTTATTTTCGTACTAATTTTTAAAAACTGTATAAACGTTGAATAAAGAATTTTGAATTACATATACACACACACGCACACACTCACACACACATACACATACACGGGAAATATAGCATAATTGTTGTTAGTGTGAGTGTGGCGAGGCATTGAAGTGTTAAGCTTCGGTCTTTGTCACTAGTGTGACAATTAATTATAGCTTAGCAATTAATAAAGAATTGTCAAATTTATAGTCCATTTAGAAGAACTCTCAAGAGTAGTATCATTTCAATAAAAGCTATAAGATGTTTTTCAGCCGCAGTAATAGATGTGGGCCTATATTTTGTTCGTGAAAACTATAACATTTATTTAAGTACTCAAAATATTTTCGATTTATCTCGATTTAAAGAGGATAGAATTGTCGTCCACATTTAAATGCGTGAAATTTTTTATCATATCCTATAAGGCAATATATTGAAATTGTACTTTACAAATCAAATAATATCTAGGAGACGAATGTGACAATCTCGTTCTTTTCACAGTACTTCACAATACCTCTATATAACAGAATAGTGTCCTGAGGTTGTAAAACTAGATAAAAAGTTATGTAGAACTACTTATCCTCATCATTCATTCATATATACCACAAGGTTTTGTTTAGGTGCGAATTTTTATTTACTCAGCTATAGCCGTTGTCTTCAACAGTAAATGTATATTTACCAAGAGCAACTCCAATGATGAACCACCACTCTGCTTGATCCGGGTCGAGTGTCTTGGCACCTTTAGCAAACTCGATGGCTTTGCTATATCCCGCAGTGTATTGCATGTATGTAGCTGCCTTCAATCCTAGCAAACCCGCACGGTTCCTCTTGGTACGAAGACCTCTGACATCACCATATGAACAATTCTCCAGCAAATTAACCTCCTTCGAAACATAGCATGTCATGTTATTACGGATTGGAAACTGATGCAAAATCTGTTTCCTTCAAAATAACATCTTGATTAGTATTGTCCGTGCTTAAAAATACGTCTAATAACACACTCGAAACATATACTTACCTACAAGACAGTAAATACATATTATTAAATATGTTAAGTGGTGATCAATTTCTATTAGACATTTCGATTTCAGTCATCATCAGACCCAATAGTCGTATGCTGGAGGTTGCTGCCAGGGCCGGACTCGTCATGAATGAGGGCAACACGCCAACTTTATGGTGCTCGGAATGAGGGGAACGATCTCCAACATCACTCTTGCGTCTGAGTCCCTTTTGCTAAGGATCAAAGCCTGGGGAGTCCTGGAGGTACGGCCAGTGACCACCAATGCATCATTTTCGATGACCTAGGTAGTCATCAGAGACAAGTTACTGTGTCTCGACAGGTGTCCATTCGGGGGAACACAAAAAAGCTGGAAGTGGCCAAATTCACCAAAACCATCCTACGGAGAGAACCGGAAATGCTTGCTGCACCTGGCGTGGCTTACGCAGAGACATCAGTTACATATTTGATGGTACTGACAGTCTCGGCCTGTAATGAGTCAATGCATCGCAGGAGATCCCGGAACGATAACCGACTGTGTCCTGGTGGACTGCCGAGATCGCAGAATTTCATCGAGCAACATTGAGAGCTAGACGACTTGTTACCAGGGCCAGAGAACCCATAGACAGTTGTCTGAAGTCGGATGCTTACAAGGTGTCTTGGAAGTCTCTTCGCCGGGCCATCAACCGGAGTAAACGCAGTTGCTGGGAGAAATTAAGGGTTAATGTTGGTTGCTGGAGTCATTTCCGTCAAAGTGTTGATGGTAAAGAGGAAGGCAATATCAGTGAGGCAAAAAATCATCTCTCACACAAAAAGAGAGGGGCTTACCCGCACCTACTGGCTCTGGCATGAGAGCTGGGAATAGGAGAAATGAGGACGCTGGACCAGGTGACTGACTCAGTAAGTCCAGCCTTGGGTAAATCGGTGGTACAGTGAGGTCGATTTGGTGAGGACCTGAGCGTCTCAATTCCGTCCAGAGTATTCTCAGTGCCCAGAAGCTTGACCATGGTCGAGATGCGGTTTAGGTGATATAGGAACAACATTCCAGGAACAGTGGGAGCCCTAGCGCTTAGGTCACATGTTAGCCTGACTTGAAGAAATGTGCAAACAATCCCAGATCTGTGTCCAACAGAGAAGAGAAGGTTATTTAGTGAGTCGTCTGTTCCTCTCAGTAGTCTCACACTTTAGGCTGGCCACCCGTGTGTGTAAAAATACCTAACAGGCGAATGAAATAAATGAATAATGAAGATATGGGATTCAACTATTGGGTCTGATTATGAGTGGAATGTCCAATGGAAATAGATTTCCACTTACCATCTTTTATATATATTTGCCGGCTTGTGAGTTAATAATATAAGTGTAAACATATGTTTCAAGAATTAGACGTATTTCTGTTAACTCTCGATTTTCTGTTTAATACAATGCACAGATTAGTAACAGATTTTACTGAATATACACAATTAATTACATAGCCTATTATTATCCTAACAAGTTTATTTCCAACTAACATTTTTATCATGCAAATTATTTCTAGTCACAATTCGGTTTCTGTTTAGTAAAAGGATACAACCCTTACAAACTAACGAATGACAGTACAACCTTCTGTGTAGTGAACAAAGCACTGATTGGAAATACTATCAATGCATATTTTACAGACAAAATCTCTTTTAAAGTTAGCAAAATACTAACAGGATGTATAAGAAAACAAATTTAAAGAAGAACAGCCGTAGAATGAAATGCCAGCAACTCACCTTATTTCGTCAGTTTTATGTTTGCTTTTGTTTACCTTCTCAGCCAAATCGTCTTTCCCAGCTGACAAAAGAATTCGAGCTTTGGTAGCCAGGATGACGTGAGCAAGGACCTCTTTCACATCACGGAACAGTGGCTCCTTACAGTCTGACAAGGAGTTCCAATGAGCTTGGCACCAGATAATACACTCCAGGGCTTCTATGTAGTTATGAATCTTGCACAGTTCGTAGCTCAGAATAAGACGGGAAACAAATCTGTTGATATTGTCAATCGCATTAGTAACACTCACGTACTTATCAGCACAGAATTATGATTATGACTAAATGTCCTCTTATCACATCATATTTAGTATAATGCAATCTACTTTGGATATTGGAAGAGATATTACATATGTATGGACCAGCTGCAGCCGTTTTCTATGAGAATATAACTTCAATTAATGATTATATACACAAAAAATTTTATGGATTAAAAATATAACACTTTGTAATAAGTACTTTGGCGGTGGATGATTTTGATGTATGCTTACTAAAGTTTCTCATTTATATAAGCAGGCGGAAAAACGATTCTACCAAATTACCTATTAATTATCCATAGTTTTATGACTCCCCTAACCCAATTTAAAATATTTGTATTCGTATTTATTTACGGCGAATTTAGATTTGTAGTAAATAATGATAGACAATAATGAACCTATCTTAGTGCGCTCCCAGTGAGGACTCAGAAGCCCGTGTGATTATTTCTTACTACTTTAGAATTTTTTAACAAAAAGACTTTTTATTTTGATTCATTCAAGAAAAAATACCTGATCTATTTTTTGTTTTAGGTGCTAGGAGTTCAAGTTTATTTCACAAAATTGCTTTAACTTCCCCAACGTTTACTTCTTACGAGATAGGTTACCTTGTCCATTCGAACTGGTTATCCTCATCGATAACTTCGCATTTTGCTTTTTGGTTGTTAATATAAGTTTCAATCTCTTTGTGTGGTTCAGGTAAATCCCAATTGAATGGAGTTTGGGTAGATTGAAGTCTGTTCCAAAGTTGTCCCTTCTTGTCGGGCTCATCTTCTTTACCATCAGATGTTCTTGGCATGTTCAGCTTCTAAAATCCAATTTTAGATTTTGAGTAACGTAAAACGTTGGTGATTTATAATATTTAATAGTCATGCAGTAATTTGGGAATTGTTATACATTACAAGTAACTGGTAATCTACACTAAAGGTGTGGTGGGTCAAATAATTATATTGCAGCACAAATAATTATATGACCCGGGGTCAAATATCCCCAATGACAATTTGCATATATCCGTATCACTGTTTGATTTTCAGCCTACCTTCAGCCATCGTTATGTACTATTTAAAACAAATAGGTATTTTAGGAAAACTAACTGTTTCTGTATTTGATAACTCCCTCCACGAAAAGCTATACGAATATTTAAACAAGTGCATTTCTCCAACACAAAATTACCCAGACTCAAACAATCTGTACTTATTTGTGACTTCTTCCCATTTAAACAATAAGTTAGCACTATTAATAAAGACTTCATTAAAGACTTCACTATAAATAATGCTTCATGACTTTGGCAAACAATTCATGGGGATTATATTTGAATTCCAACAAGTGTCACTTGTGAACCATCATTATGTGTAATGTTTTCCTAATAAATAGCTAAACAAACAATTTTTTGAGCAACGCAATCGATTAGTTCTGATTATGTCTTTGCTTCGTATAAACAAAATACAGAATGCATATACTGGTTGAACTAGGTGACGACAGTAAATGAAATAAATAATATCTTAGCTGGTTCAAAGATTTAAATCAGAAAATCACACCAGGTTTATTGTAGGGTAATTTTACTAATCATAGTTCCAAGAAGCTTTTATGACCTCTACACTGACCATAGGAGAAAATATTTGTAATTCACCCAGTAATATATGTTATAGCCTTATTTGGACATTACAACGTTAAGTTTCTTACCTGGATATGTCAAAAGACGTTAAGCACAACTCGGACAGATCAGTTGAATTGTGTGAACAATGGATGTTGCCTTCCTGATAGTAGTTATCTGTAGGCGTTGAAGAAGATAAGATACGTTTTTCTACACTTCGTTTCATTCGCTTCAAAATTTGTTACCATACTACCACAGATGTTAAAGGCCCAATATAAGTCGATTGTATAGTACAACGTCATGCAACGTTATTGAAGTAGCTACAAAAAAAGTGGCTATAAAGAGTTTAATACATGTATACAACCCACGGTTAAGTGTTTGAACTCAGGATGGTTGGAAGGGAATAGTATATTTCAATAGTCTACTCTTGGCAATTTAAATGCTCGATAAATCGAAACTTTCGACAGTTTAAAATAAAAGCTCCAAATAGAATCTCGTAATATTTCTAACTTTCACCATGCATGATACACTCTGTATTGCATAAGTCCAAGCTGTATAAGTCCAAGCAGAAGAAAAGCCAATTCGAAACACTTAGTAATTAAAAGTTTCATCGGCAAAACAATCCATAATTCTAAGGGAGGGATTCCTTTCTTTCGTACCAGGTCACCCTGTTAGCACAGTTGTTCGTCTTAAAAAATGTCATTGATAACTCGAGAATCAATTGCGAAAAGAAAACATTATAACAGATCTTTTGTAACTAAAATAATAGCTCTCGAACCCTTGGAATCAAATTTCTGGTGCGCGCTCAAGTTTCTTGTGTAAGGCAAAACCGAACACTGGGACTCCAAATTTTGTTTACTTCTTAAATCCATATCCATTTAAGCCTTTACACGTTCAATAATATTTTGCAATTTTTCCAGAAAAATATCTCTTAATCCTCAAAATAGTGTGTTGTGTATTGGTACTATTGTACTGTCTGCTATGTTGTCTGTCAGTCCTATGATATGTTCACCTATGATTATTAATTGTAGGTTGTTTTAAATTGTGTGTGTTAAGAGCTGAATTTTTTATTGTTGCGCTTATGAATCCGGTCAAGCGCTTAGAAAATGAAAATAACAACATGAAATCAAAAGTGGCTATAATGCCGCAACAATTTGACCTCAAACACCTATTTTACATTTTAATATATCAATTCGGGGGAGTGAGCTGGCGTAGTGGTTACAGTTCGGTACTTCTGTCCCTGGGGTCCCGGGTTCGATTCCCGCCAAGTCACCAATGGATTTTACTCTTGGCTCTTTTACTCTTAAGTGATAACGCCGCAACCCCTAGGTCTAGCCTGAAGTAATTTGAAAAACAGTCCCAGGCTCGTGCATAGCGTCCTAGGACAAAAAAATATAACAAAACGAAAATAAATTTACAAGAACTGAAAGAAGACATTTCGATTACGCTTTATCCAAGGTATGGGATTTGCCTGTCAACACATCATTAGATACTTCACAGAAATTATGAATCATCAATATTGTATCAGTTCTTCCCTTAAGTGCAACATTGAAATTAAGTATCCGAAACACCTTAGCTAGGTGTTGTGTGCCTAAAAGCCAGTTTGAATAAAATTCAACAGATACAATGGTAAAACGTTGATGAATCCCGAATCAAACAAAATAGCGTAGGAGTTCTTTTTAAGCGTGGCGAAATAATTGAATAGTAAATCTATTTACTGATTAAGTTTGGATCATACTTTCAAACATCAAGGAATTGTAAAGGTAACAACCTCACAATCTCTGGCAGTTAATTGAAGAACAACAGCTGTTGGTATTTATGGCTTTTTAAGTTCGTGTGCAGTATAATATTATGTTTAACAAGATTACCTCTATTTCTTGTTTCATGATCATGAACTGAAAACTGTTGATTCAAAAGTACAAAGTTAGATAAAAAAAAGATTGCTGTAGATGTAAGTACTAGCATAGAAAAATATAATCAAATATAGACTGTCAGCAGTGCTGTGGAGCATAAGTTCTGTCGTCCACCGCTGAGAGTGCCGTGTATATGCGGCGCATGAGATACGGAACTACATGGTGCTCGCAGTGGTGGACGCCAGAGCTTATGCTAACCACAGCACTGCTGTCGGTCTATATTTAAAACTATTTGTCTATGGTAATAGTAAGGGATAAATTAATTACATATCAATTATATTAATCAGTGGAAAAACTGTTCTACACGAGTCTGAACATCCTAGCCCAGCCATAACTGTGAGAGCCTTCTTCTGCCGTGTGAAAGTATCTATGGCAGAGGGTGAATTACCCCAGAACAGTATTCCATATAATTGATGAATGCGAATTAGATAAAAGTAGGCCATAAGCAACACATCTTCACTCACACATGTTTTCATAGAAACATGTGGTTTCAATAAAATTCCATATCGTATATTTTGGTTGATTAACTTTACATAAATTTAACTCCAATAGTTAATCATATACGTAAAATAAGCAAGGGAAGACTATCTTTTAAGAGGTTGATATCAACATTGTATTTATCAATCAGTGCATGATCATGAGTACTTGTGCAAACAGTTATGCAATAGTACAGTACAGTTTTGATATGAGTCATTACTAACCCAAACATTGTTGAGATTTTGAGATGAGTGATTCCCTTTATAATTCATCCCAATGCGATAATTCATTAAACTCGTGCTTAGTTGCAGACCTTACACTGTCAATATTATTGACAATATGATTGACTCAATAATATTGTCAAACCAGAAAGACTGAGCTGCATTTCGGCCTGCACCTTACATGGTCAATAATATTGTCAAACTGTTATGGCAATCCAGGACTTGCTCAGTACCAAAATGAACTCCAAGAAGAAACATGTCTTGCCATTATTTCACATTGTGCTTTAGAAATAAATAAAACGTAAGAAGTGGGTAAAGGAGTGGTTGCTAAAGTTTAAGAATATACACACTAGAGGTTGATGAAAGAATTTGTAGCAAAAAAAGTACAAAGCGAGTATATGTTACTGTTTAGGAGAAACTTGTTGTGGCCCCTCGATACCTAGCTACTGGAAGAAGCTTTAAAGATCTGAAGTTTTCATCAGTTATGTTATTTGCCAACTATCGGTAAAGCTATCTTAGAGACTACTTTTTAATGGTTTTACAATAATAATGATGCACTCGCATTTACTTCAATATTGTTGTCAATAACTTCCGTGAACTTCCGGTATTGATGGCTGGATTTCAAGGTTTATAGATTTGCATCAATATCGGTCGTCAAACCATCAATCTCGAGGTGGTACTCTCAATAATATTGTCAATATTCTATAATACTGACAATAATAGTAATCGTGTATGGTGCCTAAAAGATGTGACCCCAAAAGCAAAATGGCTTAGAAATAAATGGCAAAATGTTATGTTTAGAGGGTAGGAATGAAGAAAAAAGTAGGGGGGGGGGACTCATTTAAAACTCATCCTGTATGTACATATTCACACTGCAATAAATACTGTAAACCAATCAACTATGCATAAAGAAATATTGTTTTAAACTTAAACAACGATCGCTCTAGGCTACTGATAACAATACTTAAAAGCTCGTCCACTTTAAAAATATATTGAATCGAACCATCAGACTTCATATTTTGACAGTGAATTTAATAAATACACAAACTGCAAGTTTTTACATTACAAAAATACTGTAAGATAATACGTAAAACAATTTTACATAACTTTTTATTTATGGTTGTTTACTGTACGTTGTACATTATTGCAAAGTATTCTCTGATTCACAAGGTCTACTGGTTACAGTGGGGATGAATGACTGGGGCATTGACGAGGAGGGTAATGACAAAGACCCTGTTTGGTAGGAGGGTGGTGGGAGGTGGATGGTTGGAGGGAGGGATGGCGACGCGCCGTCGAGCCACGACCCGCACGACATCCTGCACCACACTGCGGTACATGGTGGTGGTGGCCACTTGATACCGTACTACTCACCACTCACCATTGCCACTCAGCATTCACTAAAAAATACACCACTACTCATCATTTACGACTCACCACTACTCACTACCCAACATTCACCACAACATACTCTACCACTTACAACCCACCAATCATCTTCCAATACTCATCATTCACCACTCAATACCCAGCATTCACTACAACATACTCTACCACTCACAACCCACCAATCATCGTCCAATACTCATCATTCACCACTCAATACTCAGCATTCACTACAACATACTCTACCACTCACAACCCATCAATCATCGTCTAATACTCATCATTCACCACTCACCACCCAGCATTCACTACAACATACTCTACCACTTACAACCCACCAATCATCGTCCAATACTCATCATTCACCACTCACTACCCAGCATTCACTACAACATACTCTACCACTCACAACCCACCAATCATAGTCCAATACTCATCATGCACCACTCACTACCCAGCATTCACTACAACATACTCTACCACTCACAACCCACCAATCATAGTCCAATACTCATCATGCACCACTCAATGCCCAGCATTCACTATAACATACTCTACCACTCACAACCCACCAATCATAGTCCAATACTCATCATTCACCACTCAATACCCAGCATTCACTACAAGATACTCTACCACTCACAACCCACCAATCATCGTCTAATACTCATCATTCACCACTCAACACCCAGCATTCACTACAACATACTCTACCACTCACAACCCACCAATCATCGTCCAATACTCATCATTCACCACTCACCACCCAGCATTCACTACAAGATACTCTACCACTCACAACCCACCAATCATCGTCTAATACTCATCATTCACCACTCAACACCCAGCATTCACTACAACATACTCTACCACTCACAACCCACCAATCATCGTCCAATACTCATCATTCACCACTCACTACCCAGCATTCACTACAACATACTCTACCACTCACAACCCACCAATCATAGTCCAATACTCATCATGCACCACTCAATACCCAGCATTCACTATAACATACTCTACCACTCACAACCCACCAATCATAGTCCAATACTCATCATTCACCACTCAATACCCAGCATTCACTATAACATACTCTACCACTCACAACCCACCAATCATCGTCCAATACTCATCATTCACCACTCACCACCCAGCATTCACTACAAGATACTCTACCACTCACAACCCACCAATCATCGTCCAATACTCATCATTCACCACTCACTACCCAGCATTCACTACAACATACTCTACCACTCACAACCCACCAATCATAGTCCAATACTCATCATGCACCACTCAATACCCAGCATTCACTATAACATACTCTACCACTCACAACCCACCAATCATAGTCCAATACTCATCATTCACCACTCAATACCCAGCATTCACTACATCATACTCTACCACTCACAACCCACCAATCATCGTCCAATACTCACCATTCACCACTCACCACCCAGCATTCACTACAACATACTCTACCACTCACAACCCACCAATCATCGTCCAATACTCATCATTCACCACTCAATACCCAGCATTCACTACAACATACTCTACCACTCACAACCCACCAATCATCGTCCAATACTCATCATTCACTACAACATACTCTACAACTCACAACCCACCAATCATCATCCAATACTCATCATTCACCACTCAATACCCAGCATTCATTACAACATACTCTACCACTCACAACCCACCAATCATCGTCTAATACTCATCATTCACCACTCAATACCCAGCATTCACTACAACATACTCTACCACTCACAACCCACCAATCATGTTTTATTTCAACAGGGACAATTCTACTCGTAAAAAATCATAAAATGCTGTAACTATTAACATTGGAACATATATTTTAAATTGATATCATCTGTTTGAGCAAAATACATATAATGTATAATTCTCTTTGTTCTTAGAACTATAAAAATATTACATTAATTAAATGCATAAAAGTGTTCACATTGGTCCACGCATGAATAAATCATGTTCTACAAATAATTCGTTTTCAGAAAATATTTTTATTTTAATCAGAAATTTACTCAAAATGTTACTATTTTGGACAAATTAGAAATACAAATTTTTAATCTGCCTCACCTCTTCGCAAAAGTTGCAAAAATCCTCAAAGTGTGAGACGAGGGTTTTCAGGTAGAAATTCAGGCTTTCTTTAATTATATCCCAGGGCTGAGTGAGGGTCAAGTAGAGGCTCCTTTAGACCGTTGGACTCAATGCCGGTTGCAGCAGGCTCAGCCATCACGTGACCTAGTAGGCCATGCTGACCACTAACTTGGAATTTCCTTAGTGCCTTCAATCTGGCAAGGCAAAATGCAGCACAGCCATGCTGAACAATTGGTATCGGCTGGTCTGGAGCGCGCATCCCTACCAAGAAATTATGTCAAGGTGATCAGTCTTGACTCCGATTAGTATAATTGTTGCAAAAACGTAGCATACGTCTGGGACCTTTTTAACTTTTACGGACATCTAGAATTGTATGATGTTTGGGTCAAATCTGAAAACCAACAATTACCAATGTATAACCTACTGATTCGACTATTGGAGGAAATGCATAAATGGTAATAGCACATGCTTGGTTTTAGTTTACTGTGAGAAAGAAGCAAATCAGGTTCTTCCGTTTTTATTTTACATCCGTCGGTTTCAAAGAAATGTAAGCGCTTAACACAATGGATTGTGTCTCATACTCTCCACAAGAAAATAAATTGATTGCTAAAGCTTTTTATCGCTTGTTCAGGATACATTTTCATGACATGTTTCTATTGTATTTGTACTCAATAGATCAATTTTACGATCTACTCGTAGCTAACCAGGTTCTCGTTGCGTCGACGATACTTTTACTAGACAGTAGATTTAATTCTTATTTTTTTTATTTTATTGTGTAAAAAATTCAATGTATGAACTGAAAATTGTACTGTCTGAAAATGTATTTTCACCGAGGCTTTTTTATACGGAATATTATCAAATCCATTTGGTAACCTACTTAAAGTGCTAAGTATAATTGTCACTTAAAAGCTTTGGGTAGTAAGTTTGCCATTGGCTGGTGAAGGAAATTCAAATATACAAAGTAAAACATTCCCAAGATAAAAGGATATGCAAATATGAAGAGAATATTCATAGGGACTCGAGATTCGTGTTTCGAAACTTTGTGGAATTATTTGTATATTGCAATAGGCTGTCTACCCCGTCTTCTTCATTTTCTTAAAGGATAGTTTATTTTAATTATTTCGTAATTGTTATAATTCCAAAATTGTATTATCGTATGATTTTTTTGTGTTTGGAACATTGTAATTCATACGATTTCCACAGCCCGAAAAACATTACTGTTTTCACTTCTGGAGAGGGATACATAACCAAAAATATTACAATCCAAATTAATCTCTTGTTTTGTGTATTCGACAGTATTATTTCAATTAAAATTATCACATACCCTTTTTAGGTAAAATTATATGAACCCATCCATTTCCAGAGGATATTACTAGGATCGAACTGGTTATCTCGCATTTCCGAGGTCCGAGAAACTAACCACTAACTCATCCAACCTCCATATTCAGACAAATTTTGTAGATAACAATTACAGATGTACTATTAATTGGAAATTTTACATTAGTAACTGTGTACGTTTTCCTGCATGTTTAAATTTCAACAATAAGGACTGTGAGTAATTTTCAACTATAGAGAATCCACGATTGAACGGGAAATTAAACATAACATACCCTTTGGGGGTGTAAAAGTTTCAAGTATGAAATATTTGACTGTTGAAAGGTGTCAATACAATATACTGGATCTGAATATAAAATATAATTATAACTGTCACTTACAGTAGGGTATTGTCCAACGAACATGATATGCGTACCTGCCTTTGTGGGTGTTGATACTTTGCCATTTTGAAATTATTAAACTATTTACTTACTCCTTCATTATTATTTTTACGTTCGAACCATATTCACCATCCTCATTTCACATTACCCAATAAATTAACCATTAACTTTCTAAAATGCCAAAACGATCTGTTTTTAAAATACAGTGTGTTCTAGTTAAGAGACTCTGTATAAGTGAATATCTTCTAAAGCAATATATTTGTACTATAGATGTATAATCACACTAAATAATGCGAAAATAATAATATTACGTTAGTTTAGCTGAGTAATGCACCAAAATATGTTTTTTAACTATTGCTCCTTAACAAAATGAAAATGTTTAAGCGAATTTCTTGTGATAATACAAATATAATCAACAGTCTTAATAAATATATATTTCCATGAATCACTTATAAAGGAAACGGTATGTTTAACTTTTCAATCATTATTATTTTTATGCTCTTACCATATTAACAACGCTCAATGATGAATTGGTCATTAACTGTTTAAACTCTCAAAGAACTATATTTTTAATACTTAACACACATCTTAGTACCACTACTCTTTTCAATAAATATTTTTAACACGATATCCTAGCTGAATTATCACTTTTTCATTTTTATCAAATTATAATTTTTTTTATATAGTCTATGTAAATAGTTTTATTGATATAGATCAAGTTGTTGCATGTATGTATGCAGATGATACTTCTGGGGCTGTGCTGGGCAAACAATATGGAGAATCTCAAAGCTATATTAACAAATTTTGCTGAAGCTGCCAATGCTTATTTTTTAGAAATAGAACTAAAGGTAAACTTACGTAAGACTGATCTTGTTAATTTCTCAATTGGTCACAATGTTTCAGCTCTTAGCATTGCATGTGAAGATATGACTCTGGGTGGTAAGATTTTTGTAAATTTCTTGGTATATTTTTTGACAAGCATTTTACATGGAATAAACACATTGATCATGTTGGTGCTAAGGTTTTGAGTGGAATTTCTCTGTTAGAAGGCTGTCAGACTACTTGGACAGTGCCAAGGGCTGTTTATTTTGGAGTGGTATATCCATATTTAGCTTATGGACTTGTGTTGTGGGGAGGTTCTTTCCATACATATACCAAAAGAACTTTTGTGTTACAGAATAGACTTCTACGTTTAGTTGCAAACGTTAGCCAAAGGACTCAATTAAAGGTATTTTTGTTTCACATAGTATTATGACTTTGTACGCTATGTATGTATACCAGGTTATATGTTTGCTTGAATTTAGTAGTTGTCTGGTAATGTTTTGTAGAAAAAGTACATGACCATGACACTAGAAAGGGTAATGATTTTTTCAGAGTAAGGTGAAATGCCCAAAAAACAGAAAATATCCCTTATGTCAAGGGAGCAATATTTTTCAATAAATTGTTCATATCAATAAAGGAACTGGAAGGTAAACAAATCAAAAATATTCTGAAAATTTGGCTGTTTTGAAACTTTGAGAATTAAGATTAAGTAAAGGTATGCCTATTATGTGAGTAGATGTTTTGCTTGGATAAGAAGTTTGTAGAGTAGAACGCATGGTTTTGTACTCAAATCTGTATTTTTGCTTGGCAAATTTTGTATGATAAGGGACTTATACATTGACGATTTGCATGCATGTTATTCATGTTAAAGGCAAATAAAGACATTTCATTTAATCACAATACTTGTTTAACCAAATAAATTTATACTTCAAAGTAAATCACGTTTGATGATTTTTCAAAGATAACATTTTAAAAACAATTTGGGTTGAACAAATACAATGTTTTTGTAACCAATTCAATTTCAAATTGATTTCTATTATTCGTATTTGATACTCTTCGAAACACTAATTTGGTCAAATAAACCTAAATACATTCATACAAATACTTTACAATTAAAGCTTTTTAATTACACAATCTCAACAAAACCACAAAAAAAATCATCGTTTAGGAATTGTCACGAAGATAAAACAACAATAAACATGGGAACAAATGAACTTAACTCGAATGTTTTCTCCCAGGCTAGTAGTGCACCTGGGGCCAAGTCGTACCTTGCTCGAAATCAATGTTTTCATAACAGCCCGCGGCGAATGTTTTCAGAACGGTGTGTACAGTGATGTTTTTGACTCGGCTAGTAGCTGGTTGTTCCTGCGCTTGTTCGTACATTCAGCACGGCGGCAGTCGCATTTTGAGTTTCAGTTGGCACTTGCCCTCAGACGGGAGTAGTGTTTGTCAGTTCGGCCGGGTTACTAGCAAAGCTTGTACTGGGGTGTAGGTGAGTAAGAATCTTACTATCTTTCATTGTGTACTCGAAATCATATGGTTACAAAATTATTGTTTTGTTATTCAACTACAGCTGTGATATTTTAACAAAGAAACATAACCTGTCGTGCTGATGTTGATACAATAATGACTTGGCGGAATAAATTAACTTATTATACAACCAAATTGGTTGATACTTTTTATGGGATTATTTAAATCTGTTTTTAGATATTATTCCGAAGTACGACGCATTTTAGAAAGTTTTAACGTTGAAAATAAATGTTTATGCGTGAAGTCAAACAAATATTGAATATTTTTAAGGTTATGTGTTCCAAATTCCAAAATGAGATAAGAAAATAATAGTTTAAAATATTAATGCTGACATACGTTAGTTGTACCCAAACAATAAACCTATACAAATTCTACCCTACTTAAATATTGAATTTAAAGACTCTTTGTTTTTTTTATGTCTATTCATGAAACTAAACAGGTAGTAATGAATTTCAACATTTATTGAGACTATTAACCTTGAATATGTTTAATGTTTTCTTTCCAGCCCATGCACGTATACATCGTTCTTCATTTATAAATGTGTGTGTACAGTTGTTGTTTTTTGTACGTTAAATGTATTTCTGTGTTCATTCAATCCTGCATTTACTATAGTTGTTTACGTATCTCATGCTTTAGTTTAGAGTAGTTTTTATTTAGTCTGTAGAAATATGTTTTATTTGTTTCTTAAGAGGTGTTTTTGACTGGCAATAAAGCCTGAGCCCAGTTAAAAACCTTTGTAGAAAATAATTCTGTATACGAATTCCTCTTTGGAATTTGAATTCGGTTTGCAACTAAACATTTTTAACAAAACTAATTTTTAAATGCGGCAGTCTTTTCATAGATCATTGTGGGAATTCGCTACTAAATTGGTGCACCAAATTATGTTTAACTCTAAATAGTTTAATTTAATTTACAATTGGCTGCAAGTGTGCTAGGTAGATATGAATAGACTGAGGTAGAGGTTGGGTAGTTATATGGGATAGTACAGGGTTAAGGATGATTTGGTTACTCAAATTACTTTTAGTGAATTTCCCCAAAGGGAATTAGCTATTACCGTTAGTGGCAAGGAAATACATAGACCCGGGACCGACTTATTTTATTTTCTATGACCCCAGAAGCCAAAAACGCTATTCGTTAAATTGTTTATATACGTATGTGTCCGTGAACACGAGAATCCAAGCGTTTGGTCTGAATATGAATTTTAATTAAATTTAGCATTAATGTGTAGTGTAGGTTTGACATGGTTGGGTTCGCAAACTGCACGATGGGAACGAGATTTTATGGGATACGAAAAGTTTGTTGTAGGAAGGTTATGGAGAAAGTTTTAAATAGAATACATTTAAATAAATTCTCATATAATTCTTATGAAAGTTAACTGATGTAGTTTGCATGTTTATGGATATATTTTGAATAAGCTTGGTAATTTATTTATTTCATACTATACCATAAAAAATTTATATAAAAAACACGTTGTCCCTGTAGCAGCAAACCTGAACAGTTATCTCGAAATTAATGTGATTTAAGTAGGGTATAAATCTAACTAGTTTATGGACATATAAGGAAATATCTAATCATACTAATTAAAATTAACTAAAACTGCAGGTTTGGTGTGGTAAGAGTATTATTTTAATTGATTCTAAAGACAATAGCCTATTACACTTAACCAACATAGAAATACAAAATAATGTAAATGACTAATTTGACTTGTAGAAACAAATCTGGGTTACGTACTACGAGTTTGGCTGCATTAAATAACACTGTTTATATAATTCTATATAAGCTTTGAGTAATCAAAACTGTATGAACCATTTTATTCACTGAAGCTTTTCTTGACGGAATAAGCCATTTGCACAACCATTTTTTTTATATTGGCACATTTATTTTTGTATGCGGTAAACGTAAAAAGCAATCATTTATACAAAAGATGCATACAATATGATCATATCATAAACTTAACCATATAAAAAATAACAATGACAAATGATGATGAATTTAAATAATTGGTCCCATATACAGGGTGGAACGAAGTTATTGTTTAAGAAATTTATTTGTGTTAAACTACTCAGTATTAGTGACAAAATGGCACCAATTTAGGTTTCCATACTCTCACAGGTAAATAATAACAGACAAAATAATTTTTATTTTAAATATTTGTATTTCCTTAAATAAAATGGCAATTAGTACACTAAACATTGTGTTTATTTCAAATTCATTATCATTTTCAGTATACTCATTAAATCTTCAATAATAATAGTACAAAATCATTTAGATAAAAGATCTCTATAATCTTTTATTCTGCAATGTAAGTTTGAATTTGTGATTTGTTAGAAAACTAAACTTTCCCGTAGGGTTCACACTAATCTAATACTTGGTATTTTAACACATAACTTTTTAATACTAACTTCATTCCACCCGTTATGAATATTAGGCGCTTTAAAACCATTTTCATAATATCATTACTAGTTTCTATAACCTTATCAACACCTTATACAAATCTATAACCTTATTTATTGGTTGAGATTAAACCAATATTTGTACTATCACATTTTGGCTTAAAAAATAAATGAATGCTTGAAAAATGAAAAAAATGATTGCTTAAAAATAAATGATGACTTACGTTTGATACAATTAGGGAAATATTTCCTATTTTGTTTGGTAAACTGAAGAATTAAGTGAAACAGTTAATTTACAGTTAGATCTCAGCATCAAATATGTGGTCCACAACGAGTTGGGTGAAAAATTGGTTAAGAGGTTTTCAAAATAAACCAGATTTGCATTTTCATTTATCAATTTAACCTTATTTTGATTCGTCCATTTAATGAATTTCTGGTATGTCATTTTATACTTTTGTTTCAATTTTGGTGGCAAAAGATTAGCACAAACAGTTTGTGCTCTCATTTCCATCTCGTCAACTTCACTTTCACTAACTGATATTATTAAATCAGTTTAATCTACCTTCCTTTAACTTCCACAAACTTAGGTTAAGAATACGCGAGTATGAACAGGAACAAGTCGGATCAACAATTCAAATTGTCAACTGATCAGCTGATCAGCTGATTAGTTGACGTTCGAAGCATTACAATTTTACTTCTTTTCTCTCAATCCTTGAACCTCATTGGTCCGTTACCCGCGTTGATATGAGAAAAACTATGCTGATATGAAATGAAACTATGCTGATATGAAAGTAAACAGCTGTTGAGTGAAACTTTTCAATTCTAAGAACTGAACTGAAATGTCTACTTTAAAAACGGTCGTAGGTAAAATATATAACAAAATTTAACTTTTTGCAACGGTAGGGTTCATTGTATAAGCTTTTTGTTAGGAACAATATTTGTTTTGTTTTACAATATACGTTTCTCTGTGAGAACACAGTTAATTTAATTAAAGCAAGAAATTGGACACACGGTCAATGAAGCTTACTGTCCCTAACATACTGACGACTCTTCAACATGTTTTCAGCAAATACGATTTCCTTACTCATTATTTTTTTGCAATTTAGTAATAGCACATAGTATACTAACTGATTTATTTAAATCTCAATTTTAAACAATAAAATTAACAATAATGGCTAAAATATTTCTTGTCATACTAACGTGACATAAAATGGTTAGTAAAGTGCAAAAGCACATGTACAGGGTGTGACGGTCGTAACTGGTTTATTTTGTAAAACGTTGTGGCATGAATAATGCCTTGATATACTCTTCCCGCGTGTTTTAGTGTCATGTGTAAAACATATGGTGCAATATTTCAGTCTTTAGAGATCCAAACAAATGTGGTATGTTCTCTGAACTTGCTATTTCAACCCATTCAAGATGCAATAAGTTTTATGATTGGATAATAATTTTCTCAAATTTATCAAGCTAAATAATTTCAAAATTTTGATCAATCAACATATTTTTTAAAGGTTGACAGTATTTAGACATTGAAAGATTTAATATATTAATACAAAACCTTAAAATGTTTCAAAATTCCTTTTAATTAAAAATCATAATGGCATTTTTGACTGGACGTTTAGGTGGTTATGTTAATATACGAGACTTTTTTGTCCTAGGATGCTAGACATGACCCCGGAATTGTTTTTCACATTACCTCAGACCTAGGGGTTACGGCATTATCACTTAGATAAAATCACTGGTGATTTGGCGGGATTTGAACCTGGGACCCCAGGAACCGGAGTCCCGCGCTCTAACCACTAGACCAGTTCGCTCCCCCATGCGAGTCGATATTTAATTAAAAAACATATCCATTTAATAAAATGTATACGAATATTAACTTTTCACTTTAATAAAGACTTCAGGACAAAAGAATGCTAAGTATCCTATTTGCGGATTTTTATACGTATACTGAAATAATCTACTTTTATAACTGTTAAAGTTTATATACAACCCAAGGAGTTTAAGTAACCTAATTATAAAGTAAAATTGTCTGTTACTCATCCAATGAAAATCACAGCTGTCGTTCTAGTGTAGTTTCATATATTTATTAGCAAAACTGTAAAACTAAGTAGTAAAAATTTATTATAATAGGGAATAAATATTATAAATAAATATTACATAATATTAATGCTTCAAAATTCATCAAAAACTACATACAATAATATATTTATAAACTTATATTCTAGCTTTTCAAAACTGAAATCAGATAAATTTAATATATTTAAAGGGATTATTCAATCGATGTAACCAGTGGTGATTTAATGTACTTTTTAGTCCGATTATTTCGGCTCGTGAAGCCGATTATGGCATTAATTTAGAGTCAAATGTAATATCCGGATTAAACGATTTTGTAGTGTTTTTACTTTCTATGTTGAACGCTGATCCAGCAATACATAAGGTAGAAATAAATGTCGTATGGCTTCTTTTTCTAACCACTATTGGTAATTAAAATTTTCTTGTTAATTGATCGTACAACAAAATTTAACGTGTACAATGCAGTTGTCTGCTTGCAATTTGAGCGAAACAA